CAGGTGCAGCAAAAGCCATGTGTGCAGGCAGAGCAAAAGCAGGAATTCATTCACTGTGTCCCAGGGGCAGGCAGGAGCTCAGCCATCCCCAGGACTCCATCACTGTCACACTGACGTGGGGAGACAAACCCAGAATGTTCCCCCTTCCTCCTTCTCCCCAGCTTTGTGTGCTGAGGGTGATGCCATAAGGTCTGGGATATCCCTGGGGTCAGCTGGGATCAGCTGTCCTGGCTGTGCCCCCCCAGCTCCTCCTTTTTATTTAAATATTGAAGCCAATCCAACTTGAAGGTGTTAAACCCATCAATTCTGATGGAATTCTGATGCAGGATTTTTGAGGTTATTTAGAGGATTATTTTTAGGTAATTTAGAGGATTTTAGAGGTTATGGTGAGGGTGAGGAGCAGGACAGGCTCTGGCTGTGTGCAATCCCTGCTCAGGGAGAGCTCAAACACCCCTGGGTTATCAGCACAAAACCAAACCCAGCTGCTGTGAGGAGAATTAACTCTAGCCCAGCCAAACCCTGCACAGCATCAGATGTTCAGTTCCTGCATGCTCTGAGCTGAGCAGAAATGCCACCTCTCGGTGACATTCCTTTTCAGTGGTGCAGCTGTCAGAACATTCTCCATCCTGCCTGTGGGGTGATGCTTGTGCTGCTGTTGGTGGTAGAGACTGGAGGCTCCTGTAATGCAGCAGTCCTTGCATAAAATACTTGTCAAGTGTTGGAGAAATAGTGTTTGATAGCCATGTGTTCTCTTAGCAGAGCTTCTGGTGCAGTGCATCTGCCTGTGACTCTGGCCCATCCACAAAACTGGGACAAAATGCAGGTTTTTTCCTGCTTTTTGTTGTGCAGAAACTTTGATTTAATGCCAAATCCTGTCATACACGGTACATTCATGAGAAATGATAAAAGGCTGTGATATACACAGGCACTATTTCGGGCTGTGGCACATAAAAGGCTTTGCAAAAATGTGAAAAAACACATTTGGGGTTACTTACGTGGAAAATTAACTTTTGCTCGGGAAAAGCCTTGGTAAAAGTGGTGTTGAAGATGTCAAGTTGTTTTTCCAGTTCTCTGCTCTGCTATTTGCAAAGTAGAAATTTCCTCAACTTTATGGAGAAATTTGAAATTACGGAGGATAACAAAAGTTCCACAGTATTGCCAGAGCTTCAGGGTACTTCACACCTAAAAGAATATACTTTTGTATTTGGTGTCAATTGATTTGGCACTATGACTCCTAGACAATCTTTAATAAGTTGAGCATTCAATTGTTTAGTCTGGTCAATGAATTTGGGGGTTTAGTTTAGTTAACAGCACCTAGAAGCAAACTCACCAAAAACCAATAAATTCTTTGGTAGGCAGCACACCAGTGGCTTGGTTTCCTTTATTAAAGTTCAGAATTCCAATGTTTCTGCACACTGGGAAATTTTGTTTTTCAGCCAACTGCACTACTGGAGATAAAAGCATCAGTGCTTACTGATTTCAGATCTGTGATTAATAAGTTGGACTAATACAAGTTAGTAAAAGTCAACTTTGGTAAGTGCTTGGCCTTACCTTTAATAAACACAGCATTTGGTGCTTTATGACATTAGGGAGTCTCTTTGTGTGGTGTGCTTAAATTTCCCTTGGGCAATTTTCATTGAGGTTGGGATCAGCTTGATTGGAAAATTTAATGGCTTTTTCCATTTCCATTCCCTTTTGCCAATCTGCTCTTTAAAGCTGCTCTTTCATGATGTGTGAATTTGTCTCCATTTGAAGAACTAACATCAGATACAACTGAGAAAGCAGATTTTAGAAATGAGCTATTAGGCAGAGAAGAGGCACTTTTAAGATGCTTGCAAGTTGCACAGCAACCAGAGGAACATACAGTCATTTGATTTCTCAAATGACTTTGACTTTGACTCAAGGGAAAAACAGTTTTATTCTCCCCTCAGAGCCTTCTATCATATGTGATAAAGAGAAAATGTGTTTATAACATTTTCTCCCTCAAAAAAAAATTAAAAAAAAAAAGAAAAAGTTGTGCCTCATCTCAGAGAAGCAGCAGCATCTCTTGCCCTGTGAGTCACTGCAGAACACATCCAGTAACAGCTCCTGAGAAAACAGAGCAGTGCAACTTTCTGTTTCTTCCAGGTTTTAAGCACAAAGCGCTGACCCTTCTGAAATCAGAGTTAAAACACAGCCAAACACCAATCACTGCTTGGTGGTTTTCCAGTTTCTGTGGAATTGTTTCTCTTACCTGCCCAGAGCAGCTGTGGCTGCCCCTGGATCCCTGCGAGTGTCCCAGGCCAGGCTGGACACTGGGGCTTGGGGCAGCCTGGGATGGTGGGAGCTGTCCCTGCCCATGGAGAGGGGTGGAAATAAGATGACCATGACCTTTAAGGTCCCTCCCAACCCAAACCATTCTGGGATTCTGTGACTTCATGATCATTCTCCCCATATATGGAACTTTACAATAATAATTTCTCATCACTACAAGCAGCAGTAGTGCTTGGCTTTTTCTGGAGACCATCACCCCATGAGCTGTGGCCCATTTTCAGCTGCTGCATGTGCTGGTTGATTCCAAATCACACACTCTTCTGATATTATTTTCCCAAGCCCTCTGGAGCAGAGTGTCTTCAGTTATGTGCCAATGCAGAAGTAATCAGAAGCTTATTGTTGTAATAACACATCAAAATGCAGCTTCATAAATGCCAGATAGTTCCCTTGGAGAGCTTATTTTCTCTGCTAGTTTGGGTCATTCCATAGATTTGAGCTACTCAGTCCAAAAATGGTCTGGTTCTGATGTAAACAGCCTGTTAAGACATATAAAATATATTCCCAAAATCTAAAAATACTTACAGAAGTGAATGACTTCATCAGAACAAGCAACTAATTTGTCCTTTTGTTTGACCTTGGTTTAGTCATTTTGAGCATAGCAATGCCAGTGCTCTGCTTGTTTAGAGCATTCTGAGAACTGTGCTTAAAAGTCCTCCCAATACTGGGCAGTTTTTGTGGTGTCTTAAAAGATTTGGGTGTGGGCTAAAGATTTTTGAAGAAAAACAGAGTTGTCTTGGTCTTGCAGACATCTCTGGTTATTTCTGGATCTGGAAAGCCTTGAAAACCATGGGGCTGTCCAGGTATAACCAGGAACATGAACCTTCTGGCACTGAGCAGAAATACCATGGCTTGGTTTGAAATCCCAGAGGTTGTTTGGGATGAGAGCTGTGACAGAGTGTTCACAGGGGTCTCAGGTTGAGGGAAGAGATGAGGATCTGACTCCATGGTTCAGAAGGCTGATTTATTATTTTATAATATATATTACATTAAAACTATACTAAAAGAATAGAAGAAAGGATTTCATCAGAAGGCTGGCTAAGAATAGAATAGAAGGAATGATAACAAAGGCTTATGTCTCAGACAGAGTCTGAGCCAGCTGACTGTGATTGGCCATTAATTAGAAACAACCCCATGAGCCCAATCCCAGATGCACCTGTTGCATTCCACAGCAGCAGATAACCATTGGTTACATTTTGTTCCTGAGGCCTCTCAGCTTCTCAGGAGGAAAGATCCTAAGGAAAGGATTTTTCATGAAAGATGTGTCTGTGACAGAGAGCAGCCTGGAGGAGTTGCACCCTGAGCCAGTGTGGTGTGGCGTGGGTGAGATGCACAAAATCACCATCACAATGCTGTTTTTCACTGAGTGAAAGTAAACTGTCAAATGTCACTTAGATTCCTTTTAGTTTTTGCTTAAACCCTTGCATTTTACAGCTGCTCCATCCCTTGCTGAGCAGCCAGGCTGGGTTCCCAATGTGCTCTCCTGCTTCCCACCAGGTGTCACCTGGGCACACCTCACGCTGCTGTTGGCTGTCTCATGCCAGCCCAGCCCACACACACACTCTGGTTCTCCCTCTCACACAACACTCTCAGAGCTTTGCACCTTTTCCCTCCTGCCTCATCCCTGAGTCACTTCTTTAGGATGCTGACAGTGACTTGTTCCAGGCGGTCTGAACCTGAAACATTGTGAAAAGGAACGTGCTCCAACACATGGGGAGAGAAGCAGCTTGTAGTAATCCTCCTGGTGCTGCTCTGGCACGAGGCTGTGTGTGTGGTGAGTGGCTGATCTGCAGAAGGATGCTGCAAGTAGAAAAACATTTCTTCCATGAGAAGGAATCTGTAAGAGCCGAAATGAGGGATGTGGGACTCCAGGGGCTCTCCAAAATGCAGTTTATTCCATCCAAGAGGTTACAGCATCCAGGGTTGTGGGTGACAGAGCTGTGCCCACAGCTGCCAGCTCCAGCTGCAGGCAGGCCTGGACACCCTTTGGTTTAGGTTACAATGCATTTTATACTTTTCTTTGCTGAGCATCTTAATAGAGAAGAACCAATCTATACCTTAACTATTATCTATAACCTATCATAACTACTGTAATTAGCATATTCATGTTACTGTTCTCCAATCACTAAAAGCCAGTACATTACAGTTTCAGCTAGAAGTTGTTTTTCAGTTTTCTTGCAGTGGAAAATTCTGAGACCTTTTTTCTACTTGCCACATTTGCTGCCTTGTTTGCCTGTGCTCTCTTCCTGCTTGGTAAAAACATCTTCTTGTTTGGGGTGGGTTTATCCTTTGCTGTAAGCCATAAAAACCCCTTCTAATTAACTCACCCTTTGCCTCCTTGTTATCCAGTCAGACTGGCTCAGCAATTCTTTTCTTCAATATCAAAACTTGCTTCCATCTCTATTCCTTCTTCAGACTCTACACTCAAAAATCTTTCTGCCAAGCACACATATCTGTGAGACTTTCTTGTCAAACTTTCATCCTTCCCAACAGGAATCTTAAATCCTACATAGAAAAAGAAGAGTGAAACTTCCCTCCTTTTTTCCCTTCATCTCCAAAATATGCTTTTCCAGCCCATAGCTGGCCCCACATGTAATCTGAGGGGGCTCCAACACATAAGTGGGGGGGAGTGCACGTGGAGTACCAGTCAGTAATAATTTCATAATTATTCTTTGTTTCTCCCTCCCCAGTTTGTTGCTCAGCCAAACTGCCAGCAGCTGCTAGCAACGCTGTGGTACGACGGCTTTCCAGGCTGGAGGAGGAAACACTGGGCAGTGAAACTCCTGACCTGTGTCACCATTGGACTGCTGTTCCCCGTGCTGTCCGTGGCATACCTGATTGCACCCAAGAGCAGGCTGGGACTGTTCATTAAAAAGCCATTTATCAAGTTTATCTGCCACACTGGCTCCTACCTGACCTTCCTGTTCATGCTCCTGCTGGCGTCGCAGCACATCGTCAGGACAGACCTCCACATGCAGGGGCCACCTCCCACCATCGTGGAGTGGATGATCCTGCCCTGGGTTCTGGGTAGGTAAATCCCACACCTGATCCTGTAAATCTCACACCCAATCTTGTCCAGCCCACACCCAATCCTGCCCTGAGTTCTAGGTAAATCCCATAAATCCCACACCCAATCCTGCCCTGAGTTCTAGGTAAATCCCACACCCAATCCTGTAAATCCCCCACACAATCCTGCCCTGGGTTCTAGGTAAATCCCACACCTGATCCTGTAAATCCCACAGCTAATCCTGCCCTGGGTTCTAGGTAAATCCCACACCTGATCCTGTAAATCTCACACCCAATCCTGTAAATCTCACACCTGATCCTGCCCTGGGTTCTAGGTACATCCCATAAATCTCACACCAAATCCTGCCCTCGGTTCTTGGTACATCCCACACCCAATCCCATAAATCCCACACCCAATCCTGCCCTGTGTTCTAGGTAAACCCCATAAATCCCACACCCAATCCTGCCCTGGGTTCTAGGTAAACCCCATAAATCCCACACCCAATCCTGCCCTGTGTTCTAGGTAAACCCCATAAATCCCACACCCAATCCTGCCCTGTGTTCTAGGTAAACCCCATAAATCCCACACCCAATCCTGCCCTGTGTTCTAGGTAAACCCCATAAATCCCACACCCAATCCTGTCCTGGGTTCTAGGTAAACCCCATAAATCCCACACCCAATCCTGCCCTGGGTTCTAGGTAAACCCCATAAATCCCACACCAGGAGCGCCGAGCAGGGCCTGACTCTCTCCTACAGCAGCTGTGTGGGGCTCATCCCAGGCTCAGCATCTGCCCAGATGTGTCAGGCAGCTGCAGGAGCTGCACAGAGCAGCTGAGCTCCTCCTGGAGCAGCAGCTCCTGCTGGCCCAGGGCTGCTCTGCTGTTCTGTGCCACTGATGTGCCCTTGGCCATGACCCCAGTGCTCCATGGCAGGTGCATGGTGCACTCCCTCCTGCCTCCCCAGGCTGGGGGAGAGGAGAGGAGCAGGTTGGGAAGAGCTCCTGGGTCACACACAGTGTCCCTGTGATGCTGCTGCTGGCTCTGTCCTGTGCCTGCTGCAGTGCCCAGAGCCTGGTTCTGCTCTCCCTGCTCCCTGACCTGCCCCCAGCCTGGCTTATTCCTCCCAGATAAACTGCTGGAATGCAGGAGAGGGAAGATAAGGCTCAGGCTCTGCTGATAATCACTGGCCACATCAGCATCAAGTGCTCTGATGTGGAGGAGGAGGAGGAGGAGTGTTGATTGTCTGAAGTTACATGTGAGGCTCTTATTCCAGTCTGGCTTGGGCAGCTGGGCAGAGGAGGAGGTGTCTGTGTGCTGAGGGTGCTCAGGTGAGGCTCTCTGATGGGATGAGAGAAGAACAGAGAAGCCACATGGGTGTATTTTTGATGAGAGAGGACTATTTACCCTTCCCCAGTGAGCTCCAGCACAGCAGCAGTGGAAGCCTGGGAGCTCCATCAGGATCCTGACCAGCTCCCGTGTCCCTCGTGTGCCACCAGCATGTGCCATCCCTGGGAGTGTCACCTGGCACTTTGCTCATGGGCAGAGGTTTCCACACCTTTCTCCTGCTTCCCCACACCTTTCTGGCTCCCCTGTCCTGGTGACACCAGGACTCTGCTCCTTGTTCCTGTGGTGGCTCTGGGTCAGGCTGGATCTGTGCTGAACAAACCCAGCTGTTCCTGTGCCAAACCCAAAACTGCTGATGGAAAACGAGGAAGGAAAGTAAGAGCTGCAGACATGTTCACAAATCACTTTGGGTGGTGACCCAGGGCACTGTGCTCCTTGCACAGCTCCACCATTATCTGATGAAGCTGATTTATGCACTCAAATGCAGGTGTTGGTAGAAACTTCAGAGTAAGCTCAGGGGGTTAAATGTCTTTTCTGAGCTTAGGTCATATATTCACTTTATCTTTAAATTCATGGTTAAAATTGAGGGAAATGGTAGGCATTTCAGTAAAATTGATTTGCAGATGAAAGAAGGATAATCCATTTAAAAAAACCTTTCAAAAGCACAATCCCTTCAAAAAACCTTTTTACAGCTGTCTGTTCATGAGTTCCTTTGTTTCAGATAAACAGAGATATTGTATGACTGTTTATCAAATAGAGAAATTAGAACAGTTTCACCAGATTAAAGGTTATTACTTACAAAATATTTTCCACTACAGAAGCAGAGAGAGCAGGCACACACGGCATTGCTGTAGCTATAGTAACCAGCAAGGATAACTCACTATAAATACAGTGTATGAGTTCTTCAACAGGCTCCTCTCCATTGATTTATTTTATTTTATGGGTTTGTGTGCATGCAGAGACGTGGAGGCAGCTGTAATGGGATTACCTGGCTGGCCCTGACATTATGCTGGTGTGGCCACTGACCTGCTGGCTGGCAGCTGAGCAGCTCAGATTGATATTTGGGGGCGTGCAGCAGTTCATTGCAACTTTGCTGCTCTTCAGATTGAACATCCAGGTCCTTAAAGCTGAGTTGCAAGCAGCACATCAGTGACCACTGCACTGTCCTGTGGTTAGGCAGGGGCAGCACTTGGGGTAATTACATTGGCAATGCACCTGGAGGTGTACTTTGTTTTGTTTTGTTTTGTTTTGTTTGTTTGTTTGGTGTCCTCCTCACACATTTCTACTTCTCATTCAAGGATAATGTCAAGTGGGTAATTCAAAATACCTGGGGCTCTAAAGCCATTTTTCAGAAGCATCCAGGGCATGAAGGAGCTGCCATTTGCCTTTTGATGGGACTTAGGCTTTCAGAAATACTTAAACAGTTCTGCAAGAAAGGACATAGAAGTCACTTATAATCAGAACTGTGTCAGGTGGGTTTAGCAGTCTGGTGATGAATTTCAGAAGCTGCCCTTGACCCTTTCAGCTGCAGGGAGGTACAGTGAGCATTAGCAAGTGCCCAAAATGATCACCAGAAGGCATTTCAGGGTTGGCACGATGGGCTCTGGCCGTATCCTTGGGAACAAGCAGCTCACAAACCCCACAGCCATATCTGACACGAGGTGAGTCACTGCCCTGCTTCCTGCTGAGTCTCACCTTTCCTCACAAATAATCCCTGTGGGCTTTTTCTACAGCAGGAGGCATCAATGCAGGGGCTGAGCGGAGAATGGATCCATTCCTTCCTTCTTTGGGGGGATATTTCCAGGTCAGGGAGGAGCTGTGCTGGCGTGCAGAAGCTGGTTCTGGTGCTGCTAGAGAAAGTCAGGGAGAATCAGTGCTGTCCAACAGAGCAATGAATTGCTCACAGTGTCTGTGAGAGCAGACAATCTATTAGGAACTATACCAAATACAGCTGCTTGAAGAGTTTATTCACGTAGAGCAAATTTCAGCTGAGCCAATTCACTCGTCCTGGTTATAAATAACATGTGTTTCAGGCAGTCTCCTCATGTGCATATCTGGAGCCCTGGGTAGGAAACCAAGGTCTTTTTCAGCTCTCTCCAGACTGCATTCCCCACAGACTTGTAAAATGTCTCATAATCAGCAGCATTGTACTTTGTGGAAGGCAGGAGGGATGAGGCATTTTTTCCAAGCTGTTAATTTCAAATTGTCTGCTGTTACATCATGTGTATATACACAGGGTTTTAATGGCAAATAATGCCCTGTCATGGTAATGAACTCCCTTTCTTTCTACAGGTTTCATCTGGGGAGAAATCAAGGAAATGTGGGATGGTGGATTCAATGAGTACGTGCATGACTGGTGGAATCTGATGGATTTTGCAATGAACTCCCTCTATCTTGCAACTATCTCCCTTAAAATTGTTGCCTATGTCAAGGTACAGGAACTTGGGAGAGGGAATTTGTAATGTGCTGGTGAGAGCTGTGGTACACAGGGTACAAACTATTCAAATCAAAATCACAAAGCAAAGAAAATAGCAGCTTTTCAAGCAGTCCAATTTTGAAAATTCACCTGGAAAGCTATTTTGTTTGGAGAATGAACATCCTGCTCATTCCGACTCTTTGATTAAAAGTTAAATAGATTGTTTGGGCACTGGGGAGAAATTTCTCCACTTTCTGTGCCTTTTGTAGCTACTCAGTTGCCAAGGCACTTTTTGTTTTCTGTGCTGGCACCTCCTTCAGCAATGCATAGTGAAAACATGGCTTTTAAATAAAATGGTAGAAGGAAAACAAGAACAGGGTTACCTGAAAACTTCTAGAGCCAAGTTTTATAATCTGTATGATCCTACAGATTGGGAGATAAGTGATCAAACGCTTGTGACAGATCTACTAAGAAGAGCAAGACTGTTATTAGGAGGCTTCTCTCTGATAATCTGATATAAAGGGGTCAAGTCACTCTTCAATATGTAACCTGTGGGCAGAGAAATGACAAAGGAGCAAGCTGGGGCTTTAACACCCTGTAGGTTCTTCCCTGTCATGTTCTATTTGTGGTGAGAGCCCACATCAGAGCTCATCCTCAAAAGCACCTTCCACATTTATAAACTTCTGATGCTCCAAATTAGCATATGCACAGGGTTTGAAGCCAGGGGATGGCCTGAAGCACTTTCCTTCTGTCTCCCTTTTTCAAAGACAAGACACAAAAGTAAAATTCCTTATGCAACAGCTCTGGTTGGCTTCAGCTGGAGCTTCGTGCTTGGCCTACTTCTTCCCCTGGTATGAATCAGCAGCAGCTTCACTGCAGTCAGTGGAATTACTCAGGTGTAAATCAGTGACTGGGATCTGCTCCCTGGCCACTCCTGCTCTTCCCAGCTCTGCAAAGTCTCCACCTCTGGCAGCCCAGCTCCCAATAACCAGGACAAGCCCTTCCCCAGAGCAGCCTTGTTTAGTCCTGCCCAGCAGGCACAGGGGGAGAGAGGAGAAAATTTCCCCAAGCCCATTGACTCCAGAGTGCAAACAGCCCTGCCATGGGGCCTTTGTTAAATCCTGAAGGCTGCAGCCCTGGTGAGTCAGATTTCCAAAGGGAAAAGCTTTTAAGCTGGTTGCTGCTCCCTGAAGAGGCAGCTCTGTAACAGCATCAAAGCAGGAACAGATTATGTCTTTTATTCTCCCAACATTCAGAACCAGGGAGGAAATTACAGACTTGAAAGGTTGGGCTTTAAAGCACAAGCAATACAAAAAAAAAAAAAAAAAAAAAAAAAGCTGGAAATGGTAAAATACACGGACAAAACTTGAAATTTGCTTCTTGCTCACATGAATTACTAGAGGAGCTGTGCATCCAGGGGTTGTGCAGCTCTGTTTGTGCTCCCTGTAAGAGCCACAGAAACGTGCAGGTCAACCCCCAAACCCCACGGGCCAGCACACAAAGGAGGTTTGGCAGGAACAGATCTATTTGAGCCCAGATCAAGCCCTCGTGGGTTAAACCTGGCCCATCTCAGCCCCTGCCCTGATGAGGGCCATGTCAGGCAATTCTGAGAGGTGCAGAAAATCTTCTGTGGGAAACACGTGGTCCCAGAAGTTCCCTCTGCCCTGTGTCACTCAGGGGCTGCAGTGTGCTCTGCAGTGTGAGGGTTTATAACGTTGATAATGGCTTCAAAACATTTTGCAACATGATTTGTTATTTATAGAACAGCCCTGAGCTGGAAGAGGCTGGGATATATGCCAATATACCATATTCTAACACTTCTTAGAACTTCAAAGGATTACATGGACATTTAACTTTCTGCCAAATAGCAGAAAAAAAAAAATTGCATACTGACACTAAATGCTTTCCATCCTTGTTTTTACGTGAAGACATTTTTTTATTCCTTGATTTGACTGGTTCCAAGACCTGGCTCTAATATTGTCTGATACCAATGGAATCTTCAGGCTAATTATAGGGTAGAAATACTTTCTTAATCAGTTTCCATTTGCTGCATTGAATTATCGTGTAATGAGGAAGGGTAAATGTGACAGCATGGTGTAATTTATTTGTACTATTCTGTGTACATCTCTGCTGTGTTTCATCTTTTGAACAGACACCAAACCAAACTACTCCAGCCTTCCCAGATACCCAGCTTCATTAGATAACTCTGAAATCTGCAGTTTTTCTGTTACCTGTGATGCCAGGCTGCTCTAAAGATTCTATTTGCAAAGTGAGGAGATACCATCAGTTCATAAAGGACCAAAATATTACCTTAATGACCTAAATATTGCTTTATTTATTTATTGCTTTAAATATTGCACAGAAGAGTGTCCCACACCTCTTTTTAAAGCAATGCTTTAAAATATTGAATACATTTTAAAATATTAATACCTTTAAAGAAGGTATTTCCCCATACCTTTATGTGCAATCTGTGCTAAACCTTAGCAGAGAGCCCTGGGCTGCTGTGTCCAGCCAGCCTGCAGAAGGGAATTGGGAATAACTGTGCAAATCTGCTGTTCAGAAGCAAATCTGCTTCCCAATCCCACCCACCCACCCCCACTGCTGGATATCCACAAAAAGTTCACCTCTCTGCCTGTTTGTGGGCATTTGAAGACCCATCTTCAAATCAAGTTAACAGGCTCAGGCCATGATGTTCATGTAATAAAGAACAGTTTGGAAATGTCAGAAGCAATCCGAGGTCATGCTGAAATGCCTTTGTATCATGTCTCATCTCCTTCATACAGAGGGATAGTTTGAAATATCAACCTGCTTTTTGCTGAGCCCTTGAAAAAACTGGGAGCCCTTGAATACACTGGAGTTTGTGTATTGGAACTAAATAGAAAGTCTCTGCAATCTCGTCCTGTCAGTGTGATGTTGGTACCATTTCCTTTTCAGAGGTACAGAATTATTTTAGGAGGCCCAGACATGCTGGTTATGGTTTTAGCTGTGTTATCCTGAGTGCAGTTCTGCCTTTTTATGCATGCTAAATGAGCGGAGACAAATGTTAAAAGGACAATTATTCCTTGATGTTAAATGTCTCTGACTCCATTCTCTGTGCCACTGTCGTTAAGCCAGAGCAGTTACATTTTACATTTCACAGAACCAGAGCAGTTACATTTTACAGAACCAATCTTTTGTGGTACCTGCTCGCATCTGGCTGCACTTTGCTCAGAAAATGCTTCTGCTTTTACAGCTACATTACAAACCCAGTTAATGTTGTAATTGATGCACTCAACTGTACCCGGTTTCAGCTGTAATTAAGATCTCTGCTTTAGCAACTCTCCTAAAATTGCCATGACAAATTAACTAATAAGAAAATTAATACGAAAAAAGCCTTTTGGTTCTGGGCTGCCTGCTCTTTTCTTTGAGATTACATGGGAGGGAGAGCATCCAATAGTTCACTGCTTTTCTTCTTCCCTTCCTTCTCCCTGCCTCCCATTGTTTCTGGAACATGCAGTGTTTATAATGTGCAGACATATTTAAGAGGGAGAAGAACAAAAGTAATTGGAAATTTACATCTGGAACCTGCTAAAATCTGAACCCCTTTAAATGTTGAAAGAGAAGGAGGTTGTGTATGAAGCCATGGACATAAGGAACCCACAGACTGTGAACTCAAAAGTAAAAAAAAAATTAAAAAATCCTAAGTTTTCAGTTTAGGCTAAGAACAGCCAAAGCCTCTAAAAAAAACCTGGTCCTACATCTCTCACCATCAGGGTGTCATAATGTAGTAGGCATAATTAATAAAAAAGCATCATTAAACCTTCATCCCTGCCCTCATCAAGTCAGCTTCAGTCCTGAATCCTGACTATGAACCTGACAGCAGCTGGGGTGTAAGGGCTTAAATGTGGCCTCAGCTCTCTTTACAGAGGATTTTTCCTGGGGAAGGCAGTGAGAACCTCAGAGAAAAAGAGAAAACAATTCTTATCTCTATTCACTGCTCCTGTGTTTGCACGTGTGGAATTTGTTATGGAGATTGTTTACCTGAAGTGATTTGTTAATTGGACATGGGTGAAAGTGGTTTTGAGTGATTTGCCAGTCACTCAAAGCTGTGTCCTGGCTGGCTCAGACAGTCACAGGCTTTTCTTTAGTACGTATAGTATAGTATAGTATAGTATCGTATCTCTTTAGTATAGTTTTAATATAGTTTTTATCATTTTATAGCTTTTTAGTATAGTTTTAATATAGTATTAGTGTATTATAGTATAGTTTTAATAAAGCCATTGTTCAGCCTTCTGAATCATGGTATGTATGTATAGTCTTTAGTATGTGTAGTATGTATAGTCTTTAGTATGTATAGTATAGTAGAGTATCTCTTTAGTATAGTTTTAATATAGTTTTTATCATTTTATAGTTTTTTAGTATAGTTTTAATATAGTATCAGTGTAATATGGTATAGTTTTAATAAAGCCATTGTTCAGCCTTCTGAATCATGGTATATATGCATAGTCTTTAGTATGTATAGTCTAGTATGTATAGTATAGTGTAGTATCTCTTTAGTATAGTTTTAATATAGTTTTTATCATTTTATAGTTTTTTAGAATAGTTTTAATATAGTATCAGTGTAATATGGTATAGTTTTAATAAAGCCATTGTTCAGCCTTCTGAATCATGGTATGTATGTATAGTCTTTAGTATGTGTAGTATGTATAGTCTTTAGTATGTATAGTATAGTATCTCTTTAGTATAGTTTTAATATAGTTTTTATCATTTTATAGTTTTTTAGTATAGTTTTAATATAGTATCAGTGTAATATGGTATAGTTTTAATAAAGCCATTGTTCAGCCTTCTGAATCATGGAGTCAGAGCACATTATTCCCAGCGTTGGGGGCTCCTTGCAATGATAATTAAAAGCCCTTTTTGTGCCACAGTACCTGGTTAGGATTTACCTGTGAAGGGTTGGATCAGTGGGTGTGACCTTGGAGTGGACTTTCCTCGGAGTCATTACACCTCATCTCACTTTTATGCCCTTGTTCTTCCTTCCTTCCTGCCAGTACAACGGCTCTCGCCCGCGGGAGGAGTGGGAGATGTGGCACCCGACCCTGATTGCAGAAGCTCTCTTTGCAATATCCAACATCCTCAGTTCCCTGCGCCTCATCTCCCTGTTTACAGCCAACTCACACCTGGGACCCCTGCAGATTTCTCTGGGACGCATGCTGCTAGACATCCTCAAATTCCTTTTTATCTACTGCCTGGTGCTTCTGGCTTTTGCCAATGGACTGAACCAGCTTTATTTTTATTATGAGACCAGTGCCTCGGAGGAACCCAACAACTGCAAGGGGATCCGATGTGAGAAACAGAACAATGCCTTCTCCACGTAAGACACGCTCTCTTTCTGCTTCTGAAGCTGCTTCCCCTGTCCCCTGCCTGTCACTGCACTGACAGAGCCTTTATTTATCCATTTGCAAGTGCCAGGTGAGGTGGTTGGCCCTGCAGGAAAGGTGGGAGTTAAGTGGGGCAGACACTGTGCTGAGCTCTGCTGTCACCAAGACTCTCACTCAGGTCTGGCACTGGGAGAGCTTTTAGTTCTGGACCAAGGAGTTTCCCTGCATGATCCTGCAACTTAAATCTTATTATGACTATGCACAATTTCAGTAGATTTGGCAAAGGAAGTGTAATTTTGCTGCAGTAATTGTTGCCTAATTACTGAAGAAAGGAAGGGAATCTGAATAAAATGAAGAAAATAAGGGATAAACCTGTTAAAGACAGGAATTAATAAATAATGTGCCTGCAGCAACAACAACAATCTCACCTAGACCATTTTTATGGATACGTCATGTTGCAGGCTTCTCTGATTTCCTTGCAGACTAAAATCCCAGCAGAACCTTTTTTTTTTTTTGCTGGGAATGCTGGTACTTTACTGAGATGCTGGCATGGAAATTGCTGTGAGGACATCTGGCAGAGCTGAAAGAGCGAGCACATGCTGAAAAATGACATGAATTGTCTTGCTGATGTATTTGTTTTAATTACTAATAGTAGAAATAATTATAATAATCAGCCCCCACCCGATTGTTCTTGCTGCTTGCACAGTACTTAACTGACAATGGCAGGAGAAATAAATAAAGCACGGTCTAGAAAAAGGCCCACGCCCTGCAAACAAGCAAAACAAAACTGTTGTCCACCACTTTATGCTAAATTAAATAAAACTTGTCATGATGCCCAATAATTCTCCTCCCTCTGTCAGCTGAAGGTTTGGGGTTAAGAAAGGATTTGGGATGTATTTGCACTGTTATCAAAAACAGATGATGGCTCAGGCCACATGACTTGGTTGGGAGAGGAGAGGTTCCAGCTTTGTCCTGTGGGCTCTCTCCTAAAAGAAATATGGAATTTTCATGGGATAGAGCCCATCCTTCAAGAGCAGCAGGCCCTGGTACACCAGACATGTGCCATTTCCCACTGCAGAGCAGGAACACCACAGGCTTGATTAATTTTCTCATGAAACCATCTCTGTCTGAGGGAAGTGAATGGACCTGCACTGTGCTAATGGGAAACAGAATGAAAGATTTCAGACCTTTTGCTGTTTCAGTTGCCTCACATGCCCCAGAAGTGTGTTCTGCTGCCCTGGCAAAGGAATTCAATAACAAATTTATTCCTTGATCTGCATCCATATTGATGCAGCAGCCAGTTTGGCAAGCACAGTGTGTGTTACGGGGTAAATTCTACCTCAGGAAGGGTCAAGCCTACAAAATCCAGTACCAAACCCTGCCTTTCTCTGGAGCTGTGGTGAACAGATGTGTTCAGTTCTGGTTTGGGCCTGCCACCACTGCACTCTGGTTTTTTTCATTGTGTCAGGTAAGTGGAGAAAGCAACAGCAGGATTTGACTGAAGAAAAAGAACAAGAAAAAGCCAGCAGGAAAAAAAACAAAAAAACAAAGCAAGCAACCAACCAACCATCCTGATGTCTGTAAGAAGGTGTAATGTCTTGAGAGCTAAAAATTATACAAGAAGCACTTAGCAGAAAGTGTGTATCAGCTTAAATACAAACCACAATTTCTGCCACCCTAACATTCATTTCAACCCCCTGCCAAGGGAATGTAGCACAGAAAGGAAATTGAGGGGGCTCAGCCTTTGTGGCAGAGGTTTGTGTAAAACAAAATCCTAGTGGGAGGGGATCCATTAGGAGTGAGGTCTCCTGGCAGGGGACAGAACACTCTGCAGGTACTTTTTGTTTGAGGCTCACTTAAGAAATTTATTTAACGTGTTCTTAAAAGTTTAAATGGTCCTTATTAACACCCCCAGCACAAGCTGACATTTGGCTGGGGAGCAGATGCACAGCATGGGGCAGTGGCTGGGAAGGAGCAGCTGCAGATCCAAATGTTGTTTTGGGGGGGAAGCAAAGGAGGCTGGAGCCAGTCCAGGCAGGGCTGGGGACCCTGACTTTGCTCATGGCTCATTCCTTATGAAGGAATAAATCTGCAGAGCTCTGAATCAGTGCACTTTGGTTCCCACCAGCATTCCTGGGCTCACACAATGAGCTCTAATTCTTCAGGGGGAGCAAAAAGGACGCCCCTGGTGTGTGTGCAGCTTGTGTCAAGTGTGATACCTATTTACTGCCACGTTATTTCCTATTACTCTCAAAGGGTGGGATTAACATTTTCTTGGCGAGGAAATTTTCTGCATTGCACACACAGATCATGGAAAAGTAATATTCCTTTGTGACAGCAACGAGGGGAAGTAATGAATAATTTAAGGCTTTCTGCTTTGGCCTTGCCATCCCTCAGAAAGCAGAGTGCCTGCTGCTTAGGCAGATGATTGGAAAAGATGTTTGTAGCTGTGATGCTGGCAACTGAAGCGGGGAGAGGAGAGTGAGGAAGAGGAGGAAGGGGTGGAGGAAGTCACATCTCCCTGCCTGCTGTGTCCTTCTCTCTGCCATTCCCCTGGGCACAGCTTCCTGTGGCACAGGGGGCACTTGCTCTCTCTAAGCCACCATGGAGAGTGGTGGAGCTTTGAGAATTCCTCTGTTTGATTAGGATTCAAAATACACTCAGCAGGACATGGGAGCCTCTCAATCACCATTTCCAAAATTCTATTTCTTTATAGCTGCTTCTCCATAGTACTGTGAGCCTGCCCTGAAACATGGACTGTGAAAAGAGGCTGTGGACATGTCCTGTCGTTAAACACTGAGGACACAGCACCTCACAGCATCCTCACTGCTCTGCAGAGCTGCAGGAACCACTTGGCGTCTTTGTCAAGGGCACATGTGAATGTTTGCTTTAGTCTGGGCCCAGATTACACACCTGGCTAATATTGTGCACCCAGAACAACGCACTGACCACTTCTAGAGCTGATTTCAGTTCAATGATTAGAGCCCCTGTCTCTATTGTACCAACAGCCCAAGTAGTGTTTCTACTGTTAATAGTAAAAATACTATAAATATTTTAAAAGACAGCTAGTGCTCCAGCACTTCTAGTAAATAAATGCTTGGCATTCTTTGGTTAATCTGTATTTTACTACCCTAGTTATTTAATAAGCCTAACAAACAGCCTGAGCTTTGGGAGGGAGGTTTTTTGGAGGGAGTATTTTTTTGGGAGGGAGGTTTTTTGGAGAGAGCATCTTTATGATTTTGGCCAGTGAAAAACATAAGCTACATCCACAAAGTATAAACAGAATTCTCATATAAGGCATGGGGATACATGTGAACAAATGCCTGGAGATGATGGGAGAACAGATTCCTGGTATGTCAAATAAAGCATCTGAATTATTCATATTGATGTGTCTAGAAGTTGCATTTGAACACATCTGCTGACCTCAGGCCAAAATGGGAACTCTTAAACAGGCATATAAATGTCATTTTTGGATGATATAAATGCCATACTTTGGAAAGCCAAAACAAAGATGCCCAAATAGAGCAATTACTTCGATTGCTGATTACGCGTCTGACGTGACTGCGAAAGGTCACTGGAAGCAGAGAGACCTGGGATGATCTCACCAGCTCAGTGGGGTCAGGTCTGGTTCATCTAGGGAAGGAAGCCTTCAAAAGAAGAGAAACTCTTGAGCTGAATTAATGTGATGACTCTCTTTCATCTGAGTCATTACCGAGCAGTGGTTGCAGGGTTTTGCCAGGGACTCTGCCCGTGCTGGGTGGGAGCTGCTGCTCCAGCCACTCAGAGCTTCCAGTATTTTGGGCAGGTGCATTGTGAACACAGCAGAGTTTTGGGCAAGTGCATTGTAAACACAGCAAGATTTTGGGCAGGTGCACTGCAAACAGAGCTGTGTTTTTGGGCAGGTGCACTGCAAACAGAGCTGTGTTTTTGGGCAGGTGCATTCCAAACAGAGCAGCAGTGTTTTGGACAGGTGTATTCCAAATACAGCAGTATTTTGGGCAGGTGCAGTGCAAACACAGCATCATTTTGGGCAGGTGCATTCCAAACAGAGCAGAGTTTTGGACAGGTATATTCCAAATACAGCATCATTTTGGCCAGGTGCATTCCAAACAGAACATAGTTTTGGGCAGGTGCATTGCAAACAGAGCAAAGTTTTGGGAAGGTGCACTGCAAACAGAGCAGCATTTTGGCCAGGTGCACTACAAACAGAGCAGCATTTTGGGCAGGTGCATTCCAAGTACAGCAGTATTCTGAGCAGGTGCACTGCAAACAGAGCAGAGTTTTGGGCAGGTGCATTCCAAACACAGCAGCATTTTAGGCAGATCTACTGCAAACAGAGCAGTATTTTGGGCAGGTGCCCTGCAAACAGAGCTGTGTTTTGGGCAGGTGTATTCCAAACAGAGCTGTGTTTTGGGCAGGTGTATTCCAAACAGAGCACTGCAAATTAGAGCAAAAGGTGCAAGTGCTGTGATTTCTGCCATGTCCCACCTCGTGGTGCCTTGTTGTTGTGCACTGTTCACTGCTGCAGTCACGCTTGGGGATGGCTTCCCTGAGCATTTATCCTGCAGACATGTTAATGATGCAGGCACTGATTAAACAGGAGAGTTTATAGATAGCAGCAGCATCGCAGCATGGCAATTTTAATTAAATGGAATATATTGTGGCTGTTCTGGCAATGTGCTGAGTGGGAAAGGGAGCCTTGGCTTCCTTGGGGAAGTTGTGCTCACTGCCTCTCACAAGGATGTGGGCTCTTGGAGAGGCAGCAAATGCTGTTGATGGGACAGCTCTCACATGCACTGGCTGGTGGGTCACTGTGGCTGAGCACAGGCTGTCCCCAGGGAGGGATAAAAGGCTCTGCTAAGTGGTGTCTCCCAATATCTGTGTAGAAAAAGATAATTTTCCACCCCCCAGCATCAGGAAGCCAGCTAAAAATCTGTTTTCTTTGCAGGCTTTTTGAGACCCTCCAGTCACTCTTCTGGTCTGTGTTTGGGCTGCTGAATCTCTACGTCACCAACGTGAAAGCCAGACACGAGTTCACAGAGTTTGTTGGGGCCACAATGTTTGGGACCTACAACGTCATCTCCCTCGTTGTGCTGCTGAACATGCTCATAGCCATGATGAACAACTCCTACCAGCTCATTGCTGTGAGTTACCCCTTCTCTTTCTGCTGCTCTTTCTCCCTGTGTGCCTCATGTGTCTGATTTGCAGCACGTGGGTCCCTTCTGGGCTGCTGGAGACTGCTGCCCCCAGCTTCTGCCAGCAGGTAGCTGGGATTTCTGCTCACCAGCCTGAATCATGCCTGTGGAGGAGGCTTTGCTCTGTTTGTAAAGCTCCTTAGCTGGAAAAGGCTCATGGGCTGTGATCTGCCCCTGTCTCCTCCTGTGGAGTAACCTTGCTGACCACCTTGGGTGTATAAAGGGAAACTTCCCACTGTTTCCTGATGTTTGCTCAGAACCTGGGGGGTGGGTGTTGTGGTATATTTTTTTATCCTATTTCTGCTTTCTCATGTGAAACCATGTGTGTCAGGAGCCCAGTCCTGCAATTTCTTTTTCCACAGTCTTCCCACCTGAAATTAGATCATGTCCATCTGTAATACCAGAGTCTCCTGGCTGTATAACCATGTGAGATTCCTGAGTAATCCCAGTGCAGGATGGATCTGAGCTGAGGCAGCTCGGGGCTGTAGAGCCCTTATCAAACTGAACTTTCATTTGAATGTTCAAAACTGTTTTCTCCACTGTAATCTCATTCTGTGTACCCAAAAGCCAATCTGTACCTTGATGATTAAATTTGTCAACAGACTGAAAGCTGAAGCAGCGTGGCTCTGCATTTTAAGGCTCTTTAGGTCAGGAACAGTATGGAAGGAAGCAAAATCTTGTGTGCACAGGACTTCAGATAAACCAGTGGGCACTTACTCTCCATTCTGACCACTAACATGACAGGTTTGGAGACAGGGAGGTGCTGAACTTCTCTGCTGCAGCATCAGAGAAGCAAAACAGGAGTGGGGGAAGCTGTGTCCCTGGCCGGGCACTCAGTACAGAGAGAGTAGAAACTTCCTCCTCTGCTTTGGGCGACTCTTGTTTTATTCTGGAAGATAAACCAGAGCAAAAACAGAACCAGAAGCAATTCTCCTACTATTTCCATTTCAAAATTCCTGGACAAGTCTCTAGGGATGTGTGTGGGTGAGTTCCTTTCCTGGCTGAAGCACAGAGGAGAGTATTGAGTTGTTTTCTTGAACAGGTTCCACAATTGTTGTTGATTATCTGCTGATTCAAGTGGCTCCTAAATTCACTTGGTCAAATTACTGATTCTTTTGGACATCTGATCTTTATAATGGTAAAAAGTATGAGAAAAACTGGACCACTGACCTTCCAGATGAGCAGAAAAGCAGTTTATCACAAAGGCATTTATCAGTCTGTTTCAATGCTTCGAGTGCTTTCCTTTGTTCACTGCTACTCCTCACATTCCAGGGAGACTGGAATGAGGGACAGAAAACAAAGATTCTCTCCTTGGCCATTTTCTCCAATTCCCTGTCCTTGATTGTCATGAACAGGCTTGTCACTAAGACAAAGCCCCAGCCTAAGAGTGGCACAAGAATAGCAGTATTTGCTATTCACTGGGCCACAAACCACTCATCATTCTTTCCCCTGAATAATTCCAGTGATGCAATGACACATTACACACAATCCCACAGGAATTAGAGGGACCCATCATAACAATTAACTGAAGAGAAGGGTCCAGGAGGGCTGTTGTGTTACTGGTTTTGTGTCTGGAGCAGCTGGCAGCAGGGACTGGCCCCATCAGAGAGTCTGCCCTTGACAGACCCGGGGCTGCAGGGCAGAACTCTCCAGATAACTGAGGCAAAGCATGGAGTTAGTGAGCAGCATGAGCCCCCTGCTTGGGAAAATAACACTGGAAATGCTACAGGAGACTTTGCTGTCTGGAGGAGCCTTGGGGGTAGCACGGTTGGGACAGATGGAGATGGGAGATCTCTGCAGCCAGGGCTGGAACTTGGGGTTCATTGCAAAGGGCCTGGGTGCAGGGACCTGCTGGGAGCTGCCAAACACAGCTCAGAGCAGGACTGAGAGGGGGAGAGAGGATGAGAAGGTGAGAGAGTAAAAGGGATAAGAGCTAAGAGGCAAGAACTAAGAGAGTGATGTTCCCATTCCAATACCATAAATCTTCTTCTGTGTTGAATATTCTAATTCTCACTAACCAATCTAGTACAATATACAAATCCTACAGCATTTCCATACAGCCTATAAGAATCATTACATTACCATACTGTGCTACATTTTAAATCCTAAAAACTCCTCTTTGGGCCCCTCCTGCCAAGCTGGCAGGGTCTGCTCTGACCCTTGGGCCTGTCTGCAAGCAGAGGGTGTTGTTCCATCAAAAGGGGATCACCTTCAGCTGGCCATGCCATTGTTTTTTCCAGTTGTTCAGTAACTGAGGTATCTCAAAGCTTGCTTTCATTTCAATCTCGCTCATAGTTTCCATATTCTCAAAATCTTTTGCCAGGCAATCATATTTATAAGGCTTTCGTGCTTCATCTTCCCCAACAGTTGTCACAGAAAGTGTCTGGCTGCAAGTGATGCCGAGGGCAGTGACATTTCCTGGGAAGGCAGGAGGCAGGCACTTCCCACCTCTGCCCTGCTGGGGTCTCCAAGCTGCATTCCTGCATGCTTCTTCCTCTCAGGGACAAATTTCCTTCGTGTGTCTCCTCAGGGCAAACATCAATTAATCTCTCCCCCGAAGAAAACAAGTCGTTAAAAAACGTTGAGCTTTACAAATGTGGGGCATTAATTAACCTCCTGTAACCAGGTTCAGCCCCTGCTGAATGACAGCAGGCTGGGTGCTAGACCGGGCATTTCTCCCTCCTGGTATTTATATTGCAGTGGGTACACGTGGAATGACAGAATTCCAGGGGGAAGGAGGGGAAGGAGTCCTTGGGGTGGGGTGCAGGTCTTCTTCTGCATCAGCAGGAAATCCTGTGCCTGAGCATCACTGCAGAGCAATAAACCAGCTGTGGGGAATGAGATCAGAGTGCAGCTCTGCCTGCTGACTCCCAGCAGTGGAGTGCTGAGGACATCTTCATTAATCCCGTTTGTTAATGAGCCCCAGGCACTGCTGCAATGCAAACAGGCTTTCTCCCCTCCTCTCCTGCAGGGACAAGTACACCTAATGCATTTGTAGCAGTTATTCTTCAGGTCAGCTTTTCTCCTGTACCCACATGTGACTCTCTGCTGTGAGGTTTGAGAAAGGAGAATCTGGGCTGCTCCTCCTTGGCCCTTCCTTGTGTCTCCCCAGTCTGGGGATTAGGGCTTGGTGCTTAATTAGGCACTGCAGGCACACAGCATGAAAGCACCACTGTCTGTGGAAGGCAGAGCAAGGCAAGCAAAGAGTAAAACCTCTGCTTCAAGTGGTTCTTGACTCAGAGAAGAAGGAACTTTTCTGCCATAATTTTGTTGGTTTTTTCCTCAGCTGTTTCAGACTTCAATAAACACATACTTGCAGGAGTGCCCTGAAGCAGTTTCAATATAGATTATTTCCAGACAGCCCATTTTTCTCCTTTGCCAAACCATACTTTGGTTATGGCAGACACCATCTTTCACCAAGAAAGCAAACAAAATCCAAATGCAATGCCCCAAATTTCCATACTTCTCGTGCTGTTTCAATATGGGAGGATCAGAATGTTTTATACAAGCAGCACAGGATGCAGTGGGATGTTATGCACTGCCAGCTCCCTCATCTCAATACCTTCCAGACATGACAGAAATGCCATTAGCCGAGGATGGGAAGAGGAATTTGTCACAATCACAAGAGGAAGGACAAGGGAATGATGTGAGAGTGGCCAGGTGGCTGCATCATTTGTAAGTGGCAGAAAGTAACTGAGTGGGTGATGAGGACACTTTGTGTGATGGGCTGTTTCCCATCATGGCATACAATCCTCCTGCCAGATGCTAATTTTTTCAGAATAAGGGGCATAGTTGGTGTTCCTGAGGGTGCAGGTGCATTTTGGCCCTGGGGGTGCCCTCGGGTGTGACCGTGTTCACAGGGATTCTTGGATGAGGGAAGAGACAAGGATCTGACTCCATGTTTCAGAAGGCTTGATTTATTATTTTATGATATATATTACATTAAAACTATACTAAAAGAATAGAAGAAAGGATTTCATCAGAAGGCTGGCTAAGAATAGAAAAGGAAAGAATGATAACAAAGGCTTGTGGCTTGGACTCTGTCTGATGCAGCTGACTGTGATTGGCCATTAATTAGAAACAACCACATGAGCCCAATCCCAGATGCACCTGTTGCATTCCACAGCAGCAGATAACCATTGGTTACATTTTGTTCCTGAGGCCTCTCAGCTTCTCAGGAGAAAAACTCCTAAGGAAAGGATTTTCCATAAGAGATGTCTGTGATACTCGGGTGCAGGAGCATGTGGCAGGGATTTAAGGTGTATTTTCTGATGGCTTGTTCCTTGTGGCCACACCTGTGATTATTCTGGGGAGTCAGGCAAGAATTAGTCACAGGAGCTGCACCGGGAGTGGTGACTCTGCAGCAGCAGGAGCAGTATCAGTGGAAGAACAGCAAGCAAGGGCTGTGCAGGATGGAAACCAGGGGCTGTGAGCTGCTGGGAGAGTTGCAGGTGAGTTAGGGTGATAAATGGTGCACAACAGCACTTTAAAGAGACATGTGAACCCTCACAGCCTTCAGATGTTCTGGGATAAAAGTACAAAGATGTTTAATTCCTCAGGGATTACTTACACCAAAGGGAGCCTGAGAAAAATTCCCTCTAACTCCCATGTGGGAAGGTGTTGCAGCCTCGAGTGTGTGATGCAGTGTCTGTGTGCAATGTTGGAATAATGACTTCAGCAGTGAGCATAAAATCACAAAATTGTTCTGTATATTGTATTTTGTATCCTCCTCTTGGTTGGTATCTCTGTGATTTCAAGCTGGTTCATCTCACACAGCTGTTCCTGCAAAAGGCTGCAGTCTTTAAAATAAAAATAAGTTTTAAGTGTGTCTCTGAGAGTAGTGTATGTCTAAATTGGAACTTAGTTGCCAGTGTTTGTGTTGCAGGAATCAGGGCATTGGGCACCAACTTCAGGGTGAAGTTTTAGGTGATGAAATTAAATGGAGTGGA